AACAATATCGAAAACAATAAAAACGGAATAAGATCGAAAACTCATTTAACTGATTAACATCGAAAATGTGATTTTCTGATTAATGTCGAAAAGTTTTTATATCGAAATTCACAAATGTGGAACAATATCGAAAACAATAAAAAAGGAATAAGATCGAAAACTCATTTTTATGATTAACATTGAAAATAAGATTTTCTGATTAATATCGAAAACAATAAAAAAGGAATAAGATCGAAAACTCATTTTTATGATTAACATCGAAAATAAGATTTTCTGATTAATATCGAAAACAATAAAAAAGGAATAAGATCGAAAATTTTTAATTGTCAAAAATTCTTTTTAATGATAAACATCAAAAATATGATTTTATGATCACACTTTTATTTTATAAAAAACTAGTACTAGGAGAAAATCTTAAGAAATTTTTAATACAAAGTCACTTTTCAAAAAGAAACTTATTTAAGAGTTCGATGAATATTTCCTAACTTTTCACCCTAATATCACATCAGCTTAACAAAGTTAACATTTCCTACAATGGAGAACAGCAGTTTAAATGAACAGTTAATTTGCACGCGCAATAAACAGTTTAATTTGCACGTGCAATAAAATTCTGTTCGAATTAAAACTTAAAATTTAAGAAACTTTTAAGAAACTCAATATTCTAAAATGTTTTGTCAGCCCTGCATTCAACAAGTCCAAAAAAGCAACACAGCTCATTGTCCCACTTGCCGAGGACCAATATCATCTATAATTGAACCTTTTCAATGATTCAGTAAAATTTTCCCTTTTACCGATATTTTAAAAACTAGAATGTCACACAATTGTTTAAATTTATTTTAAAAAATTTATTATATAAAAGCGGTATAATTTTTATCCTATTGTTCCGCCTGGAATAAAAAATAATCAATAACGTCATTTTTTAGTTTACATAAATGACTTTAAATTCCATTTGGGCCTACAAGATTTTCCATAAGTTGACGTATTGTATTGGTCTCAGTTGAGCAAACCCCATATTACGTTAAGGATAAGTACTAAATAAATTCCATCTTCCTAGAAACAATAGTCATTTACATGTTAAAGTTATTGTATAGATAAATGTAGCATAAAATTCTATAGCTGCTTGTCTAGCAAAATTAAATAAGTTTCCTTGAAGCAAGTGACAGTATCAACAAAAGACTTATCATGAAGGTTACTATGTTACAATAAGCACTTTCGTGTGCACAAGCGTGTTAGAAGCAACTTTTTGCTTTTAACTTTTTTTAACTAGGTTTTAACTTGTCTAGCTAGCTTTTAACTTGTTTAACTAGGTTAAAGCTAAGAAGAAGAAAAGAGTGCTAAAACATTTTGGGCCGGGATTATAACTTGTTACAGTCAGCAAAAAAATATATAGAAATTAAACAAAAAACTATATAATTGGAATAAGCTCGTCAAAAAGTATGTGAAAACCATATGCTGAAAATATTTCCTTTCCAAGATATAACACCTTATAGATTATATAAAACACAGACCCAGATTTTACAGACCAGCACAAAACAGCTATAAAAAAGGATTTTTCATCCTTAATTTGCTTTATAATAAACATGCATTTTGTTTAAAGAGTTGCTATTGATATAAATTTTCTATTAAAAGCTAGTTTCTGTTAAATTTATCACGTCCTTACTGTTGGTAGGGGTGGGGAAAGAGAGGAGATAATCGTGAGCGATTGACATCTTTTTTTTGACCAAATGCTCTTAGTTTCATGTTATAAAAATTAATTAAGATTTTCTATTCTTGACCACAATTTTCTCCGAAACGACCAACCTAACCTCAAAATCTTTACGATATGGGCTTGTATATTTATAGAAGGTTATTGATTGTACTTTTTATAAAAAGTACAAAAAGTTTTTTTTTATAAAGTAAGTGTTTAATAGTTCTTTTTGGAATTTTATGTTTTGCTTACATAAACTTCATATATGTTATTCACTAAAATATATACTAATAATTCTTCAAGTTAGTTGAGTTTCCTAAAACGCCTTACAAAATTTTTTAAGAATTTAATTTGCAAATAATATATTAACAAGTATAATTGAACATGGGCTACGGCATGGGGGTATATCTACATTGGCTATATCATGGGGGGAGGGGTCAAGGTGGCATTTTCCCTCCCCTTCTATCAGAATTTGTAGTAGGGACGATTTCTTTTTTTTATAAAGTAAGTGTTTAATAGTTCTTTTTGAAATTTTATGTTTTGCTTACATAAAATATTTAGTTAACATTCAAGGCAGTGCACAGTGGGCCAGCAGTGAGCAAAAATTTAAAAAATGAGCAAAACCAACCTTTAACAATTCAAAAATTTTTAAACTTTTTTGAAAGTGAGTAACCTGAAGAAAATTTAAATGGTTGTAATATAATGTTTTAGTAAATAGAATTATTGTTAGATTGATTTTATAATGTTAATATTGTTAAATTGATTTTATATATAGTTATTAATTTTGATCACTTTTCATGTTTCTGGCCCACT